GGAGGATGTGCTGGGAATCGCAGGAACACATCTGAGGGTTTGCCCAGGTCTGTTCCAGGAAATGCCTCTGTCATGTTGCCATGGCTTGGTGCCCTCTGTGCACAGGAATTCTCTGAAGTATTGTGCTGAGAAGGAAGTGAGGCTGCTGCCCTGGCAGTGCTGAGTAATGATCTTCCAGGGGATAGTTGGGATTGGTGCTCAGTGTGGGGAGCTCCCTTTTACTGAGAAATTCGCAGAAAAATCATGTCTATGCGGAACCTGTGTCGTATTCCTAGTTGTTCTAAATTTTAATTCCCGCAGGCAGCAGTTACGGTAGCTGCCCCTCTTGCTGTTCGATTGATTCCTCATGAATTGTTTATACTGGTCTAGGGCCAAGAACTGCTAGTTAGAAATCAGTCTGACTGAGTTGATGCGAGCATTTAGTACATGTGGAATAAAAACAATTTCTGCCTCAAAAATATGCCTTAAAAGAGGAGGAGGACAACAGGAAGAATGAGAGACTAGTGGGAGGGCTAAGTGTACGTGGGTGCCCAGCAGATCGTACGAGCTGCCTGGTTTTTAGGCCTCAGATTGGACCTCTTGGCTACTGCTCCAGTTTCAGTGGAATTGCACAGATCTTTGCGTGGAGAGAACCTGGTCCCATGCACAAGACTAGTGGGAGGCCAGATGCTGAATTACTTCAGGTGAGCGACACCTTTAAAGGGCAGTGTGTCAGAAGAAGGAGGAGTGTCATGGCACCAGCTACTCGGGGAATGAGACCCTGTAGCTAAGTCCAGGGAGCCTCGTCCTTTGATATGTCCACATGCAGCCGTCTGGAAACTTCCAGCTGAAGCGAAAGGTCTCTCACTGCCGTTCCCCCCTCAACTTAACTGCCGTGTGTATGCCAGCAGACCAACTGTACGCAGAGCCAGCCAGCAAGTTCTGCCCTCTTCTGTCTCAGAGGGAGATGGGAAAAGAAAGGAGGTTTAGCTTTACAACTGGGTTAGTAGCACAAAGAAACAACGTTACTTTTAACTTCCCAGGGTCACAAAATTACTGCATCCTTTGCTGTGAGTGGTGGACATCCAGAAAAGCAATAACAAATGTATGGTAGGACAGGATATGGTGCACTTCCTGAGATGGGAGGCTGCACAGCATCCGCTTGTGACAGGCCAGCTGTGGACCAACACTAACTTTCCTCCAGCTTTACATCTGTGGCAGTTCTCTTGGTTTCCCCTGTATTTGGGGGAGGTTATCATCTGTTGCTTCAGTTGCTGACTGCAGTAAGTCTTGCTTCAAGAACAGTGAATTTAATGGGGAATTTAGCCTTAGAAGCAATGAACCATGTCAGGTTCCAGTCGATCCTCTTCGAATACGCTGTCTTCACCTGGGAAGAACAGTGCTTGTAGTTTATCCAGGTCAATTCTGGGAACACGCTTGGTGAAACGTTATTTCCTGATTGGAAAGTGAAAGTTCTGAGTCATCACTGCAGATACAACTAACAGGCTGTCTTTTTCCCTTGCAGCTTCTGGTTTCTCTGCTATTCTTCTCACTCATGGATCTCATCTCCGCAAAAATAGCACCAAAGGTAAATTCAGCCCTTAGGGAATTCTCATGACACTAAATGTGTCTGATCAGCTTACCTTGCTGCCTGAAAAGGCTTTGTGCCACTACTCTGAAGGCTGGTTAGTTGTTCAGCCAGAAGGAAGAGATCAGCAACATCCCAGACAGAGCCTGGTGAAAGCCCTTCTGTTCATATCAGATTAAACCTGTATTCTCTTTTAACTGATGTTATCTCCTCCTTTACTATGGTAGCTTTTATTTGTCTTTCTGAATGACTCACTATTTTCAGTTTCCTGTTCCGACTTTACATCTCTCAGCTAGTGCTTGAACTCATATATCTTGGCTTTTGTGTAGCATTTCACATTTGTTATAAGGTATTTCTCAGACTGGAAACATGCATAGTATTTCACAGGAGAAGGGGGGGGGGGGCCCCAGACAAGGAGGACCATTGTTTTCCAGATAATTTAACACTATTAAACAGAGGAGCAAAGATGATTTGACAAATTGCTTTCAGCAGCTGTCTGCCCTAAGCGTCCTCCTGCCCATGGATGCTTGTTTCTATCCCCTTGCTGTTTTCTCAACGGTGTCATGCAAGCATTTATGCATTCACCTTACAGATGGGATCAGGGAGTAGCTTCAAGTGAAAAACAGTCTCATAGTCTCATGATCTTACTTCCTCCAACCTCCTCCAAAGAGTCACTGAGGAAAGATCTTGAGCAAACAGATTTGGGAGGTTATTCCAATTAAAATGAAGAATGCAAACCCCCCCCTCCGCTCCACTCAAACCCAAGACATCCTATCATTAGATAGGATGAGAGGGAAAAGAGTCTACTACAGAGAGCAGGAGGATGAGGTGAGCACAGGAATTGCAGCGGCTCTGTGAGTTGGGAAGTGTGTGGGGACGAGCTGGTAGCTCGCTGATACTGCTTCTCCCTCTTTCACAAATCATTCCTGACTGCAGCCCTGTTGTGGCCTTGGTGAGGGCAAAGCCTCTGGTATTGCACTAATGCCTAATTGCCCAGGTAAGAATCCAGACCATCAGGAGAAGGGAAAGACTTGGGCTAAATTCTTAAAGGCCCATTAACAGAGCATTTCATTTACATGATCTCGTGGGGGATTCCTTTCTGCTTTGATGTAACTAAAACCGAAGACAAACTATACGTGCCCTTTCTGACACCCAGGAAGGAGTGGATTTTCAGAAGTCTTTGGAATGGTCCCTGGAGATCTTGCGCTGCCTGGAAGAGAGAGGCGTGTCCTGGCTGCCTCTCTTTCCTTCAGGAGAAAAAGGTGAGTAAGTTCTGCCTCCAAGGGGTGGAAAGGTTCAGTGCAGAGTGGCAATGGTTTCTCCCTTTGATATAAGAAGTGTACTCATATGAAGGAACCGATGGGTCCTTGTAAGCAGCAGAGAACAACAATTTTTAGTAAAAGGTAGGAACACACTACTTATGCCCCGCAGAAGCTGATAACTGGGAATGACTGAAACTCAGTACTGTTTCACCTGGTAGAGAGTCTAAGAGGGAACAGCTTTCCTCTCTAGGGGTTCAGCACACCCAAGCATTGGGTTTTATTGTTGGCTGGGAGGAAACTATTGTCCCTATGCTGCTATAAAGGTACATGAAGTGACATGAGGACCACTAAAGATGCTTAATTCTTCCTGGTTATTGCAGTCCCTAGGAAATACTGTGTTCTGCGCAGTGCAGCATCGGACCGACACATCCGGCTCTTGCCTATTGCGTTCTACAGGTAACGTCCCGCTGGTTTCAGAAGGAATTTGTTTGGGAGGAAGGATGTGGTTGGTAGTTTGCATGTACAGCAGCTGATATGAAAGTAGTTGTACAGCTAGTCTGTAAGTGAGATGAGCTCTTACATTAGTTGTGCAGGAGAAATCAATCACAGCAGGACTGCTGTTTAAGCAGTTCTCTTGCCAGAAGTTTCCTTGCAAGCTTTGTGCTCCGAACAAAAGGGTCCATGGTTGCCTTCTTGCCCTTGGCACTGGAGTGACCTGGCTTGCCGTGCTCCTGCACTCAACAGAACTTGTAAAAACGGTTGGCAGTGAGAGCGCTAGCTGTACTGTCCTGTGTTTTTCCTATTTGAGTATAACATGAAACCAGTGCTGACTAGATACTACTGTGTGTGATTTCCTCCAGCCTCACCCCCTGCTTTCACCAAGAGCTGTTCAGCAGAGAGCAAACCTTTCTTTATGTGGCACTTGATTTGTATATCCAGCTGTTGCAGCTCTTTGTGGAAGGGGAAGACCTGCCACAGTCTGATCAGGTGGGACAAGGCCCAGGCTCTGCAGAGCATGTGAGTGAAGTTCAATTTTTTTTTTTCCTTTTTCTCTTCTCCCCACCTCCATAACTGTATATCCTGTTCTTTACCTCCTTCCCCCTGCCACTTGCAGCATATCGCGTTCTCATCTTCCTCTACAACACAGAGGTGTAGCTTGTTCAGCTGCCTTTGCCAACACTCAGGCTGCTCACACCTCACGGCTGAGAAGCCTGCAGGTGCTGCTGTCCTCCTGATGCCTGAGCATATGGTAAAAACTAAGGTGCCTCATTGCTGTCTTGCACGTACAGGACCTTGGAATGAATGTAGTCCTCAAACAAGCGAGCTGCCTATCTGGTAAAAGAGAACGTTGTACGTTGCAGTAGGTCCTGTCTTGCTTTTAGGACTGGGGCCTGAGGGTTGTAAGTGATGTTGCTTTTGGTCTTTATCTGCCCTGTCTTTTCCAGGGGGATTCCTTAGAAGTGATCACCAAGGCCCGTCAGTTCCTGCTCAGTGCAATTTCACGATGCTCCCCAAAAAGCTTTGAAAACATACGACCGGTATGTTGCATACTTTTTATTCCCCCAGCAAGTGAGAGCTGGGAGTGCTGCTTCTGGTCTGTGCAGGCAGGGATGGTTTTTCTTGCCACACTAACCCTGTACTGGCACTGCCTGCTTAACCTGTGACATGAAATGCTATTTCCATAAGACATTTTGGAGCAGGGGAGGACATCTGCTGCCCAACTAGTGCTATAGCCACCGCCTCTTCTCTCCCGGGCTGCAGGCTCAATCTTTCTCAGCAACAATAAACGTTTCTCTGTGCTGCAGTCTCACTCCCACCACTTGGTCCTAGGGGAAATACTAAGCACTGTTAAGTAGCAGGTATTGAAATGCCCACAAGCACTGTGGTGTCAGCCAGGAGACCGTGTTCTTTCTGTATGAGTCAGCCCCAGCTTTCCTCTTTTCTATTTGCAATCTGCTGAGAAGCAGCAAGACGATCTGGTGTTGCTGTAACTTGCTCTGAAGCAGCAAGACTGGCTCTAATATCAGATGCTTCCCCTGTCCCTAGTTACTGGACACCTGTGAAAAATTTGACCCGGAGATGAAAGCCACCCTCGTGCACTTCTCAAGGCCTGCTACAGCAATGGAGCTGGATGGAGAGCTGGTATTGTTCTGAGTGACTGTGGCTACCAACGCTGCAGGGGAAGAGAGAAAACAAAGCAGAAGACACTGACTGTATGGCCATCAGTGGGGATGGAGGGACGGACAAAGCTGCTACCTTTCTCACCAGTGCTATTTCTTTCAAATTACTTTGTAAATAATTTATTACAAGCATAACCATGAAGCTCTTGTTACAATAAAAAGTAGGTTACAAATTTCATTTTAGACTTGCTTTGGGCATCATAATTTTTTTTCAAAACAAAATGTCTGCTCCACTGTCCTATGTACCCTTTCTGCCACCTGAGGGCAATTTACACACAGGCAGCAGCTTGTGCAGGTAGGTAACAGTTGTGGGCCAACTTTCTTTCTACAACTGTGTGTTGGGGGGAAGGGGGACAATATAGGTGTACTGCCAAACATCCATTCCCCTTGGATTAGACAGACTCTTAGTACAACACTGCTGAATCAGATGTGAGCATGGAGAATCACAGCATGATAACAAGCTTTTTCTGAGCAAGCTGAAGCTAAATCCACTGAGTTCTTTGGGAGACTAAAATGTAGATTAAAGATCTCCACTCTGCTGTATGGTTTCTACAGGGCTGGATGGGGAGAGCTTCCCAACCCCTCTTCAGGTGGGCTCCTGCTGTGCAGTCACTTCTGGCTTTACAGCCTGGCTTTCTGCAGTCCCTGAAGTATTTAGGAGGAGAATGGGCTCTGGCTCCAGTGGCTTGGTTTTGTCCTGAGTCTGGGTCAGAGGGTGCACCATGGACATGTGGACGTTAAGGTTATGGGCCTTCTCAAAGCGCTTCCCACACTGGTCACAGGCAAACTCCAGCTCTGTCTCAGCTTTGTGTTTGGTCATGTGGTATTTCAGTGATGCACGCTGCCTGCACTGGAAACCACAGATTTCACACCTGCAAGGCAAAGCACAGTCTTAGCACCAAGCCTGGAGCTGCAAGCATAGCCAAAGCATTAGCCATTTGTCACTGAATAACCCCAGGCTTGGCGGCACAAGAACACCACAGCCTCAGTCTGGACATAGGATTTGGAGAGATGCTATAGGAGATGCTTACAGCATCTCCGAAAACTACCTAGGTTAAGCAAGCGTGCTGCTTCCCCGGCCTGCAGCTCAGCTCTGGTAGCTGAGCATTCTTTTGCTCTCTGCTGAAATCTGAAGTGCAACAAGAATAGACAAAGGCATAGGACTCCCTCAGAAGAAGAAAGCTCTAGAGCTGGAATAGACATCATGGAAGTGGATGAACATCTAAGCCTAGAAAACCTTGACTGAGCACATGCAGTACCAGGCCTGCAAAAACACATTCCTCCAAAGAGCAAAAGGAAATATTGTAATTGGCAGAGGCTGCAGAAAACAGCTCTACTTTCCAGAAACTACAGGCTCAACTTCACCTGAACTGTCCAATAGTCAACATGAGACAAATCCTGCCCTTCGATACTTGCTTTCAGACGCTATGAAAGTTGGCCACACAAGCCTCACCACCCAAGCCGGCTTGCCTCAGCCTTCCTTAGGGACTCTGTGGCTGAGAACCACCAACACCTCCTAAAGCAACTTCAGAGAAGTCTTTTCTAAATGGCACTTACTGTAATGCACAATGCAGTCCATGTACAGCCAGGACACTGGCAGCTAATGACAGAGTTTGTCATAGAACTACTCTGTGCTAAGGACAGTGACATTAAGAGCTCTGTAGGACCTGGCTACTTCTTTCCATTTTCTTATTATAACACAGTAAGCGGGTGGTCAGTGTGCACTTACTGGAGGGGTTTTGCTCCTGAGTGCCGCATCTGATGGACTGAGAGGTGTTTGCGTTGCTTAAAGGTCTGCCCACATTCATCACAGATATAGTTACGTACCTCTGCAATGGAAACACAGAAACAGGGAAAGAACCATGAATTCTTATGTATCTTAGTACATGAAACATACAAGCAAGCGCCCATGACTACCAGTGGAGTTTGAATTCCTCCCCCTGCCTCTGAATCAGAGCATGATCAGGACCTGCTGCAACACACCTGTATGAATGAGCTTCACATGGCGCTGTAGGTACCGGTCAATCATAAACACCTTGTTGCAGCCAGGATGAGGACAGGGTCTCTCCCGAACTTCTTCATGATGTTCTTTTATATGTTTCTGAAAAGAAAGGTCAGAGCTTCTATCAGCTGACTGTCTAGTAGAGATGAGGGCTGGATTTTTCTCCTGATGACAAACTTTGGCAGGTTTACTCATCAGCACTTTCACTGTGAAAAAAATGGGATTTGCATCCAAAACCATCCCTGACAGCAGGGACTTTACAGGACACAATGGAGCTCGTTTCCAAGGGCTACTGCTGAGCCAGCGGCAGACTTCCAGAACAGGAGCAGCATATGCTGCACCGCAGCAGCTCCTTTTGCTTTTTGCAGCGCAGCACAGACTAAGACCACCACCTCCCACAGCGCTGGACAAGTGAATGAAGTCTGTCTCATATAAAGACTGCTCTATAACACTCAAAGCTACAGTTCAAGATCGTGAACAAATTCTTAACTTACTTACCTTCATGCCGTCTGCTCCTCTGTACACCGCTGTGCATCCCTGGTAAGGACACTTGTAAATGGTAGGCAGCTCCTCCCTGCAAAGCAGAGGACTGCCGTCAGCCAGTGTGGCAGGGCAAGGCTGCCGCCCAGCCACGGCCAGCTTATTACCTTTCACACTTGATTTTTTTTTTCCAGCCTGGCTTAGGCCCTGGCTTCTTCCTTATTTTGGGCTCTTCTGCCTTCTTTGCTTCTTTGCCATCACTTTTCTTACTGGAAACCCTCAGAGAAGGAACAAGGAAAATGAACAGCAGTTGTTTAATACTTGACATTGATTTAAATCCTCCCATTTAATCGTCCCTGAAAGTTACACCTGATCTGAAGGAAAAGCACGCATACCATCAAGTACACGCGAGCTGAGCTGCAATATTTGGTGCATGGCCCCGGGAGGAGGAACTTGGCCTCGCTTTAACCTGGTGGACAGCTCAGGGAACACATGCACTAGGGAATCACTGTTATCCCTAGGGCAGGAAGGAAGGGATGTGTGGAGAACTGAGTCCATGAAGGAAAACATGGTTGTTTGCCCAACTCTATCCTCCTACCCCCATCAAGAGAAGAAGAGGTGGACACCAGCCCCCTCCGCTCGTCCTCCAAGGGCTCCCCCGTTAACCGTGCTATGTTTCCAGAGAAGGAAAGCCCCTTACTTCTTTTCAGGGTAAGGCTCAAAGGAGTCATCTGAAGATTGCATGTTTCTCTTCTCGTTTTCGTCCTCGCTCAAGAAGTCCCTGAGAGAGAAAGCAGGTGCACTTTACTAACACAGTACTTGGATGACACTTCAGCACCAATAATCCAACAGACTAGTGTCTGCAGCAGCAATACTTGTTCTTCATTTCCAGTGTGTTCATCTCCCCCACAGAACAGCATGGCAACGGAGGCTTCACATGTTCTCCTCCCCCATAATCACTGGGGTTTTATATACTTTGGGATAATACAGCAAACTGCAAAATTATTTCCTTTTAGGACTAGATCTCTGTAAGAATAATTGAACCTCTGTAAGGAGAAAAAAAAGTGGCTGTTACTGAAAAGATCTATTTATTGCTGAGGCATGTTGCAACCACTTTCTCTACTAAGAAAAGTAATTTTGTAGAGCAAAAAAGTAATTAAGTAATTAAGCTGCAGGTCATTCAGTATTTCCTCATATGTAGCAGTCACTTTTTTTTAATCCTAAACTATACAAGAAGCAATTAATTCTGAAACCACGAAATAGGCAGTCGACTGTTTTGACGTTCTTAATGTGACGGATGACAGATTTAGCTGACATCCTGAAATAAGTCTGCCCTTGGCCCTTTAGTACCATAGACTCAGAATGACTAAACCTCAATTAGCATTTATTTACAAGTCTCGCTTTAACTACCTATGTTTGGAGGTTTTAGCCAGATCTTCTGCAACTATAGCTGATGCTAGCGATCAGAAAGAACTGCTAAGCTGCCACTGTCTGACTACCATTCAGGATTCCCACCCGAATGCTTTCCCTGTGAGCAAATTGGATGATTTCTCCCAGTGCCACCTATTGCCTGAGAGCTCAGGCTTGCCTACCCACACCGACTGCTCTTCTGGAGTCCCAGTTTGGAGCCGCTGTAAACGGGAATTAGTTTTGAAGCAAGAGGAGCTAGCCAGCGGCCAGCCCTGGTGAGGGACTAGAGAAGCAGCTCTCTGCTACTGCACAGAGCCGTGCAATCCCCCACTGCCATTGTGGCAGTTGCTTTTCAAGACCAGAGGGTCCTTGAAAGAAACATGACCAGGTTTGCTGGAAGCAACCAACTAAAATGCAATAGAAAGTGCACACACGCGCACGCACACACTGACACGCAAACATCCCACTGCAGCAGAGGCGGCCGGGGAGTTCAGCGCATCAGCTATGTGAGCTGTATCACAGCTGCTGCAAAGAAACCGCTCTGCGCATCAGGTGCCAGTTCCAAGGGGCCTCCAAGGACCAGGTCACTTGTGGAGAAAGAGCTCTCCGAGGCTTGTCATTTCATACTCGCAAAGAAGACATTAAGGCTATTTTAAACCCACTCTTCTCTCACCCCTCAGAAAGGTCACTGAACTCGTCTTTTACCCGCTCATCCGTCGTTGAAGACAGAACCTGCTTCCCACTCAACTGTCCTAGGAAAGGAAGGAGAACACAGTGTGTTACAACGAAAAGCAGTGAAAAGAAACCAGCATAGAGACAGCTGCTGAGAAGGCAGTGAACGACTCTGAATTTGCTCATGGTGGCTCATACCCCAGAAGAAAGATGTGCAGCAGGACAAGTTAATGATTAGTTAAACCACGCTCTGTGTGCCTGACGTGCTCCAAGACCGTCCTCCCAGCACCCCAGGGCCTGGAAGAGTCTTTACCCTGGAGCTCCTATGAGCATCTCTCGGTTTTCCCCAGTGACACCTGCTCCACCTGCTCTGTAACCGAAAGATTCATTCCCAAATGTGTCACAACTGCCTTTTCCTTTTCTCTTTCCAGTGGCAGACATCTCACATCACTGTCAGACAGCTAAACAGATCCCAACATCTGTAATTCAAAATCAGTGTTAATCCCGAAACGTTGCTTTCCGGAAAGATGAGAGATTATGGCATTAAACCAGTGTTAACTCATCCCAAAAGCAAGACCAGGCTGAGAACTTTCCTGTGCAGCCAGAAGGGACTCCTGGGGCTCCTGCGGTACAACATCAGCCCACAGCGGGGTGGGGGAGGCCCCTCCTTGCCGATATACAGACAGGGTTTGGATTTATCGGAAATAAACCTGTGGCAAGCATGGCACTGGAGAACCAGCAAGTGCTCTGCCTTGCGTGAGCGCCGCATGTCAAGAGCGGAGCAGCAGGGACTCACCAGCCACGCGCAGCTGCATTAACCCTTGGCTCAGACAGCACTTCCCATCATGAATCTCCACAGGCCTGATAAGGAATGACCAACTCTTGCCCTCGTTGACAGAGGGGGAAATAAGGCACAGAGGCAAAGTGATTTGCTCTTTCTGTATGAGGCAACTCACTCAGGCAAACCTTGATCTGACATCATGGTCAGGCAAAGAAAGCTCTGTTCCCCTTTCCCTTCTGGTGGGCTCAGCATCTGAGATAGTGGTGATTTTCTGGGCAACCTGCACTTTCCAGCTGGGGTCTGCATCCTCCCTGAGGAGCAGCAATCTCTGGGGAGGCAATGCCAGCCCCTAGACTTCATCCCCACGCCAGGTCTCCAGATCTTTGACCCTTCCCTAGAGACCTGGAAGGAGATCGGAGGACAAATCCCTTACCTGTGGCACTGCTCAGCGGTGACACTGGCTGCGGCAGGGCTCTCTCCTGTAAAGAGGCTGTACTGTCCAGTTGTGAGCGAGATGAATCCCTGTTCTGTGGTAGCTCATTCTCCAAGCTCTGTGGCACTGATGTGGTCCCTTTGTTTGCTGGCTGCTGGCAAGGAGTTGTCCTTACTGGAGCATGCTGGGGTTTGGGAGCAGGAACAGCCTCGGCATTGTCTGCCCCTGCCCCGTTGTCAGTCAAGCGCTGTGCTGTGCTCTTGTTCCACTCCCGTTTGACAGACAAGGCATTGTCAACAAGCACCGTGCTACAGTCAGAATCCGTATCCATGATGTAGTCGTGGCCATCCCCGCAGCCCCACACGGCGCGGATGATCCCGCAGTACTCCGAGGACAGCACGCTCTGCAGGCTCGGCACCGACTGGCAGCTCCCCGCGTGCGTGTGCGTCCACGTCACCAAGCTGTGCAGGCACTGAGGGCTGGAGGTGATGAGGTCGACTGTTCGGAAGGGAGAAGCAGCGCACACGCGGTCAGTATTCGGGCTGGCAAACCGCACGCTCCGCTACACGGAGGGACACGGCTACAGATCAGGTCTGTCCCCAAGGCCACCCAGCGGCTGCACTGGATTTCCTAGCTTTCTGACAGGATGTCAGAAGGGAGATGAGAGACCCACTGAAACCCTGCAGCCAGGAAAGGGTTTTCCATGGACTGGGGTGGGGGCAGTTGAAGTAATTGGACTGTCGCTGTCTAATCTTACAGCTGAAAGGCTATTTCTGGTTGCCCCATAGTGTTTGAGAGCGGCTGGGACAGGCTCTCTCCCTGCCTGGTGCTAGAGAGGATCCTCCTGCAGAGCGCGAGAGGAGGGAGACCTCACGCAGCAAGGAGGATACAGAAGCGTAACCAACGGAACCGGTGCACACGCAGGCACGGCTGTGCTGAAGGACACAGAAACCGTCTGGCCAGCTGGTAGTTTCTGAACGTCCGTAAAAAACAAACCCTTTGCTGAGGGTATTGCAGAAAGAAATGGAAACCAGCTCGTGTGAGCAGCTACTCACCCAGACAGGAGGCACCTCCTTCCGCACCAGGCTCGGCCTGGGCAACGCTGCTCCTGCAAAACCAGAACAGCACAGGCAGCATTTCAGGGGTTACAGAGGGAACACGTCTCGCTGGAGACAGCACAGTGACAACACTGAACGTGACAGCAGTGTTTGGTTAGTTGGAAGCCGCGTTCACCCATTAACTTTTCAGCTACTAAAAATACATCTTGTCCCAGGAATTTGGCGCCCGGAAATTCCACGGGGAAGTTAACATATACAAACGCGTGACAATTTACTACTCCAAAAAACAACCGGGAACAGAAAAAGGCAACGTACTTTCCTTTTGACTTTATATGGCCCGTAGGAGACGCGTTCACCCTCTGAATAAACGTCCTGAGGACGCTGCGGCATTTGTAGAACTGGGCATGGCATTTCTTGCAGACAAACTGGGGGAGCGCAGGGTCCTGTCGTACCGCGACTCCGACCAGCCGCTGGAAGTCCGTGAAGAACACCTGATCCACGCGGCGCTGCTTCTCCGAGTTCTCTCCCATCACAGGAACCTTTCCGAAAGCATTGCGCAGGCTCCGGGAAGAAAACTTCCCATGGCAGAGGCGACAATATCCAGTGCTCAGGGCTCTGCCAATTCCTAGGAGAGAAGGTTTGAACACAATTGCTCAGTGCCTGCTGCAAGAGCACTACAGCCAGCTACGGCCCCGAGGCACCAGCACGCTGGAAGACGTTACCCTTCCTTTGATCCCAGTCAGCAGGCTGCCTCAGAAGCCCTGGCTTCAGCAAAAGGCAGGGGCGCACAGAAAGGCAGCGCAGGATGGGACCTTCTCTGCGACTGAAGCCCTGCTGAACAGAGGCAGCACACCATAAATTGACTGGGCTATACCCAAAAAGCAGCAAGGTTCCTGGCCGGGACCCCAGGGAGGCTGTTCCAGCCTCGATTGCCCTAATGGAGGAATCTCCTCCCGGTTTCCAGCTGCGACGTTTTCAGGGTTCACTTACACACGTTTGTGCTTTTGCCAACAGTGTCCTTCAGCTTACGTAGTTGTTCTCCTTCCCCAGCGTTTATCTCCAGTGTATTTATAGACAGTGGTCACGTCCATCAGCCTCTGCTCTGCGAGTGTGAGCCACCCAAGCTCCTAACAGCCTCTTCCAAGACACGCTATTTCTTAGCGCCCTAACGGTCCCTGTCCAAGTCCGTCCCAGCAGCCTGGGAGCAAGGTATCGAGCCGGAGACCTGCTTGTTGAGCTGCGGGGACAAGAGCGAGGCGGCCTGCAGACAGCAAAGAGCAAGGCCCGGGAGGAGGCAGCAGGGCAGGATGCAAAGCACGTGCCTTCTCACTAAGGGTTCGCTGACCCGCGTGCCGCTCCTCCCGCCTGCGACCCAGCCCGCTGC